ATGCATTTTCTCACTTGTTTTTTGTGGTGAGAACACTTCAGATCTACTCTTTTAGCAATTTTCAAGAGTATGACACATTGCTAACTATCGCCACCAAGCTGTGTAACACCTTTCTTGGACTTACCTCTTCCATCTACTTGAAATTTTGTATCCTTTGACCAACATCTCCCCAGTGTGCCTTTTCCCCAGCCCTGGTAACCGCAATTCCACTCTGTGCTTCTCTGGGTCCAGCTTTTTACGATTCCATGTGTAAGTGAGATCATGCAATATTTGTCTTTCTGATGCCGGGCTTTTTGCAGTTAGCATAATGTCCTCCAGGTTCCCCTGTTTGGGGCAAATGACAGATTTCCTTCTTTTTAAAGGTTAAACAACATTCCTGTGTGTGTGTGTTTTCTATATCCATTCATCCATTGATGGACACTTAGGTGGTTCCATATCTTGACTATTGTGAATAGTGCTGCAATGAACACAGGCATGTGGGTATCTCTTTGACATAGTGATTTCATTTCCTTCAGATAGATATTCAGTAATGGGATTGACAGATCAGATGTAACTGCATAAGTGTCATTACTTGTGTGACAGTCCTTGGCATATAGTGATAATTTTTTTTTCCAGATAAAAGAGGAAGAAAGGACATTTTTGCCAGGGAACAGAGGCAGACTAATGCATAAAATCTATCAAATGGAGAAATGTATGCTTGAATGGATGAGCTAAGTTTGTCAGGGAAATACTAATGTATCTGTGAAAAAGAGATTAAATGACCAGTCTCCAAAGGACAAAATGAAGATGTAATTCTTTTTTCTTTTCTGGATCATTACCATATACTTTATAACCAGAAAAACTCTGGACAATTCCTTTGGATCCAATTACATCCTGATAATTCTAACAGCATTTCCTCCAAACCACCAGGTCTAAACACTCCCAACTTGAGCATTTTTCTAGCCAATAAGCTCTGCAAAGGCCCATCTATGCTACACTTAGGGAATATAAACAGTTGTCTCAAATCTCCATACTTTTCACTCTGAACTTTTTCTTTTTCTTGGCTATTAGGGGAGATAATTAGATAGGCTATAGAAAATACATTTAGATATGAACATAGGTTATTTTATAGTGGTCTACTTCTGGGTAACCTTCTTTCTACTCTGTACCTTTTGATATTTTGCAAATTCTATACATTAGTCCTGAACTGCTTTTATAATGAGAAAAAAAAATCAGTCCAAGCAATTCTTGAGAATCTTGTGGGGGAGAATTAAATTAGGAAAGTTGTGAAACTAGATTTCTAGTTCTTAGAAATCTAGTGAGTTCTCATATCATGGACAATGTAATAGAAGGGTTCAGGGTGGTCTGCAGTTGGGCAGAATCTGGTTTTAGACCTGTTTCATTCTAAACTATGAAATGCAAAGTGTATAAATGTTACCTTAGACATAAAACATGAGCAAAAGAAAGTCATTTGTAATTAATTTCGAACTGTCTCCAAAAATCCAGTTGAAAACATACTTGTTGTAATAAAAATTCCTATGCTTCTTAACCCAGCTTTTAAACTAATGAATTTAATTATGAAGAAAAATGCTGTCACTAAAGTGTTCTTAATCATGCCTGTGTTTATGACAAAAATTTCTGTTGCCATGGAAATTTCAGCGTCAAAGTTGCAATTTATATGTCTTTCCTGAAGTGGAAAGCAAAAATAGGAAATGAATCTTTGGCAAAGAGAAACTTCTTAATATATTTTTTAAAACATTGAAATTATGGCTGGTAGATGGATTTTACAAGTGAACCTCATTTTGGATGACAGGCTACACCTAATTGTAAAAAGTTCTGCATAGATCTAATTTTGGAAAATCAAATAATTTAACATACAAGGATGGAACTTAACAATCGATAGCAATTGCACAGGGAACCTGCCTCAGTTTAATTAGACATGTATTAAGGCTCTACTATCTTATATTAAAAATTAATATTTTCTTAGATTGAGTCTTCTAAAATTGGGCATACGTATAAAGTTGAACATTAGTTTCAAATGATTTTTAGTTGTTATTAAAACTTAAAATAATGAAACCAGATATGAACTACTTAGCTAAGTTATATAATAAGCAGAATCATAGCTCACATTTAATCATTTTTTATTGATAGCTAACCCATGATCAGGCAAAAGTTGGCAGCCAAAAAAAAAAAAAAAAAAAGCAAACAAAGGGTTTGTTTTTAATTTATGAAAAATATTATCATGTATGCCAGAAAAGTAGAGACTAATATAAAAAGCATTCAGCTTATGAAAGAAAAAATGAAACCGCTCTGACATTCTTCTTATAGCTCATTCTCCTCCCTCTTTCATCTGAGAGGGACCACAAGTCCGAATATGGTATCAATTATTAATGCTTACCTTTTTTAGAGTATATGTGTATATCCATAAATACTATGTCATAGTGCCCATTTTTAAACTTTATATAAATAATATCTCCCTACAGATCCTTCTGCAACACTTTTTTCTTTTGCTTGACTTGCTTTTGATGTGAATCCAGATTGATCGGTCTCTATTATCAATTCATTTAGGGATATTGTTTAAAATTCTATGATTTAGTCATAACTTTCATATAATATCCTCTCGTATGAACACACCATTATTCATTTGTCCATTCTCCACCCGAGGGATATTTAGTAGGTTTTAATTTTTTTGCTATTATAACCAATGCATCAGTGATCATTTTTGCACAAGCGTTTAGTACACACGTGGAAATTCCTTTTGTGGAGTATACCATAGGCATTTCAAATACGAGCAAATGGCAAGGAGGAGTTAAGCAGTTGACTTCTGGGTCTACTCTTTCCCCCCAACCCATAGTTAGAGGCTTGTTCACTCCTATGCACACATAGATAATATTAAATGAATAAATAATGCTTTTTACCTGTTTTATGGATTACAGACGTCCTTGATGACATTGTGTATAGTGCTCTTAAGATTCCAGGCTTTATGGACACCCTGTATTTTCCAAGATACATTAGGAAAAACACGGTACCCAGTCTCAAACTGAGTGAAACTCATGGGAATGTGAGGCAGGCTCAACACGCTTACAACACCCTCGAGCTAAGGTTATAATAAGGCTGTGCAAAGAAAATGCAGCAACATGAAACTATGTGCCAAAGGGCACCTTTAACAGAGGCCAAGGAGCAGGGCACCTGGAAGGGGCTCTAGGAGGCCCGGGAGGCAGACAGCCTTTGCAAAATCATTTGAACTGGGTTGGAGGGATTCCCATGATGTTGGCTGGAAGGGGAAGGAAGGGCAATGCAGAGGAGAGGCAGAAACCAGGTTTCCAGCACTCTCCAGAAATTCACCATTTTTCCCCTGCAATTCAGTGAGGGATGCAGGTCAGCTGGGCTGGTGGAACGTGTGAAGCGCCTACACATGAAATAAACCAAGGCCACTGCATTTAAGCCTCCCAACAGCTGGCAGGTGGTACACAGGGCTTTAATTACCCCTCCCTTAGCCGGGGGCACTCTGCCCCTCCTCTCCCTTCCTGAGCTTCCCTCCCCTTTTGTCTGTTTCCCTTCTCTCCCTTTCAGTTTGCTTCCTGTCATTCCCCGTTATAATTAAAACAAATAGGAAGCATCACAGGTGTCTGCTATAAAGCATTTGCAGATACCGTATACTGCATTTAAAAAAAAAAGCAGCTGCAAATTGTGTAATTTTGGTCTTAAAAAAAGTCCTGAAAGACATTTCTGGAAATAAACATATCTTTCATCTTGGTAGATTCCATATTTTCTTTTGGTTTGTACTTAAGCCCAGTTCATCATCATTTTCGTACTGCCTTGCACAGAAAGTTACAGCTTTAGCTAGTGAGCGTTGCTTCTATTTTAGAAGACAGGAGGAATTTCTGGAATGATAGCTTAAAATGGGGAAACTGTTACTGTGTGGTCTGGTGCAGTTTTAGACAGTGTTTCTCTCAGGCAAAACAACACCCCCAAATAACAGCATCTGTAAAAAAAAGTTAAAAATGTGCCAAAATGTTACATTATCTGCTGCAGTCGGAAGAGACCTGCCCTTCCCAGAGGAAACCAATATATTCTGTTGGCACAGATAACACTAGCGACCCCCACCCCCAAACCTTCTATTCTGCAAGTTATGCATGAAAACCTGCTCCTGGAGCAGGTGACAGGTGGTCCAGTTTTATCTGGAAGATTAACTACGTCTTCTTCCTTGACTTCTCAATTTCCCAGAGCCATGGAGTGGGTAGAATGGCAGGGGAAGCCAGCATAGCAATAAACAGCTCAGATTCTGCAGTAGGATTTAAATCCTGGCTCTACCCCTGACTGTGATCATTGAACAAGTTACTTAATTGTCTTCTGCTTCTGTTTCCTCACCTGTAACTTGGGGTCGTTAATACCATGTGCATTGTGGTCGTAACTCTTGGAAAACAGAGAGAAATCATGCCTGGGATGCACTCACTAATGCAGTTTCCGACAGGGCATGGGTGAGGTGGTGGAAGGCTGGCAATGCCCTGCCTCTCTCTTTCTGAACTCCACAGTGCCATCTTGCCTGGGTTATATCTGCCCATCCATCTGTTCATTCAACAAATATTACAGACCTCTACTGTGTGTCAGGCCTTGCACTAGGGTTCTATAAAAATAGTACATGCATTTACATTTATTAATATTTAAAATAAAGAAAAACTAAAAGCATCTAATTAACAGAAACTTAACAGCAACCAAGAATAGAAGATGGGAATACACATTCGTGGGAAATTTAATATTAGGTTGAACCACACCTGTATTAAATGTATAGGTAATTTGTTGCTCCTTTCTGGCCTCCATGGCCAAACTTTGCATAATAAGTAAAACGTCAAATACTGAAAAACATAAATCCTTCGAAGTGTTCTCCCACTCAGCAAAGAAATTTTTAAATCCCAGCCCCAGGCCAAAAATCCTGGAAGCCTTCACTTACGAAGGAGTCAGCTGCCACCACGCAAACGGCTTTTCTGTTTGAACTAAACTTTATTTCATAAGAGGGTACAGTCATCGGGCAAGGCTGTTTCTCCTCTGAATTAGCCAGGAGATATTTGTTCTTTGCTCTTTCTTGTTCAATCCTCTTGCCTTTTGTTGGTTTCTCTTCCATTATATCCCACAGGCTCATCTTCCCTGGAGGCCTGGCCGTCATTTGTTCCCAGGATTTATTAAATGTCTCTCAGTGGCAGGAACTTGTCCCTCTTCTCCTCAGTCACCTGGAAAGGTACCATAGCATCCACTGATTTAAGCCCAGACTCTTCCTTCTAGTCAGTTCTTACAGTTTATTTTCCGTTACAACTGCGCGTACTCCAGACAGGCAGGGGGCAGGTCCTTTGCACATATGCCCTGCGTATTCATTTTTATGCCTCTGTCCTCCCATAACGTCCTCCCTTCTAGCAAATTTTTGGAGCAAATTTTCAAATACCAAAATTATTCTTATCCATAAATGTTATGCTAAAGACTCCTTTATGCAGTATTCTAGGATAATTCCCGTTTGGTTTTTCTCAGACTTTGGAACTTCATGGATGTCTACATTTTAAAAGTTAGGAACCATGTAAGGGCTGCTTTTCTTCCCTTTTATTATAAACTGAGACTATTTTAACAATTCCAGTTATCCCCTACTATTACTGTTGCTTCATAAAAATAAAGGGCTGTTTAACACCAGTAGGGAGGAGGAGACCCATAATCTCAGAATAAAGAGTAAACATTAAACCCATTTAGCTATAAAAAAACACGTTTTTGTTATTATTATCATCATCACCCTTATTTGCCGTGAGTATCCATTCCCAGACCACACTTGGGAAGCACTCATGGGTGCCATTGTTAGATATTGGACAGTATGAGCCAGAAATTCAAGGTCCTCTTCTAGTTTGGTAGGGAAATGAGCTCCTAGCACTCTATTACTATATCAGGCATTGTGCTAAGCACCTTATTACTTCAACTTGCTTAATACTACACACTCCTATGAGATAAATATTAATACAGTAGAGCCTCTGTAAGATGCCCTCCCAAGGTACTGTAACAAACTGGTCAACATGCAGCGGTGGTCAACATAAGGAAGGAGGCCTACTGCACTGATATGTACGTGTGGTGCAGGTCTGGTCCGGTCTGTGATTAAATCCACTTGAGAGGCTGGTTAAAGTAGGGAAGTCTCCCTACATTATATTCCCATTCTACAAATGAGGAAATAAAAGCTTAAACATTTAATTCCCTGAAGTAGCAAAGCTAGCAAGTGGTGAAGTGACTATCCAAACCCAGGTGTATATAATTCCAAAGATGGTGCTCTAAAAGTCTAAGCACTGTGGCCTCCAGGAGGTATAAAATACAGAAGTCACACTTTGCTACAGATTTCTTCCCAAGCCATATAGAAAAACTTCCAAAGTTGAACTTGCCACGTTTTGTTTTGTTTGTTTTGTTTTTTGAGACAGAGTCTCACTTTGTTGCCCTTGGTAGAGTGCCATGGCATGGTAGCTCAAAGCAACCTCATACTCTTGGGCGTAAGCGATTCTCTTGTCTCCTCCCAAGTAGCTGAGACTACAGGAGCCCACCACGATATCTGGCTACTTTTTTAGAGACAGAATCTCGCTCTTGCTCAGGCTGGTCTTGAACTCCTGAGCTCAGGAGATCCACTCACCTCAGCCTCCCAGACTGCTAGAATCACAGGTGTGAGCCAAGGCACCCAGTGAACTTGCCACATATTAAGGTTTAATCCAGGGTTTCTCCACACTGGCCCATGGACATTTTGAGCTAGAATGTTCGCTGTTGAGGGGAGCTGCCCCGTTCATTGTAGCATGTTTAGCAAGACCCCTGGCCTCTACCCACTAGTGCTCTCCACCAGCCATAACAACCCAAACTGTCTCCAGGCATCCTCAGCTGTCACCTCAGGGCAAAATCCTTCCCAGTTGAGAACCACTGGTTTAATCCAATGTTGCTGCAAGGACCTATCTAAAGACAATGTAGATAGCAATAAACTACCGTAATCACGGGAACAACTGTGGGCAAATTCATTTCTATGAGGAGTTCTGTAAGATAGCTTTAATAAACAATAGCATTGTCATTTAATTCAAATACAACCTAAAACATTCTTTGAAATTATAGTTTTAAAAGAAATTTTAGCTTGTGTAAGAACTGTCTTATTTTGGCTGTTATAAAAGGACAGTACCAGAAACGTATTTCAAACCGAGAGAAACGATAACAATTAAATCCTTGCTAGGGTTACCAGATAAAGGAGGTTCGGGAATAAGGGACACCATCCAGTTGAAAAGGCTTCCATCTGATACAATACAGCCATTAGCAAGGTCAAAGAGTCTCTCAAGATTTAATATAGATGGAAGGGAGATGTCAAATGGGACCTGAGAAAAGGCAAAAAAGTGTTAACACGCAATGCAGCATTTTAAACTGTTGACTAAGTTCTCAAAATACGCAAATATAAACTTCATATGAAAGCTAGTTAACTTCTATGCTTTAGTAAGGCACGGAGTTCCATATCTCCACACTGCTGAAATAGCCCATAAGTATATCATTCTACATCCTCTTGAGATTGATAGATTAGTCTAGAAAACAGAAAATGCTTCTAGAAATGGGGACTAGTTGTATTTATATACTCATTACACATGGGTCCAAGTGTGGGACTTTTTCAACCCTGCTCCAATGAAATGCTTTCCTTTATAACAGATTGGTCGGTTGGGAAAACACCCCTCCTCCCTCATTTTGAGTACACAGTCCTGCCACAGTGACAGGGGAAGCAACAGCAAATTATGTTTGGAGATCACTCCACCTGAATGAAGCACCAGGTTACCACGACCAAGAGCTAGTGCAGCCAAAGTCGCTCCGAGCAAGATGAAAAATGGAAAATAAAGATTGCTTTTTGCAGGCAGAGCATTCTTTATTTGATTGGGGGAAAGGCAGGGAGGAGAGAAAAAAAAAATGAAGGAAAGAAAGCAAATGTTTACTGGGGACCCACTTCAGGCCGATCAAGATAAATGCTTTTTAAGATGAATGAGCAAAAGCCAAGTAGAAGGACCACAGTGAATTAGTCTTGTGGGTCTGAATCCTGGTTAAAAAAAAAAGAGGACAAGTTTTTATTAATTTCTTGTCTATTTGTTAAATGAACCATTCATACCCTTTATTTTCCAGAAGGATAATGAACCCAAATATGAATATCACATTTGGAGGCTGATTTTGTTAACTTTTATTCATTTTACTTGACTAAAAAAAAAAATGACAAAGCATTCAAGTGCTTTTTATAACTTGAAACAATAAAGTGAGGAATAAATAAAAATTTATAATATTCTCCTTTTTTGATTCATCCTGATGCAATCAATGTTTACAGATTGGGAAGTACTCTTCCTTATGGCTTTCTTCTGCTTTAAAAAAAAATGGAATCATCAAGTTTCTATTATTAAGAGAAATCCCTCCTTAAAGAATTCAGGGAGGCAGAATAACCACCTGGAGGTGAAGAGGGTGCACTCCGCAGTCAGACCTCGCCACATACCAGCTGTGTGGCCAGGTGAAATATTTGATCTGCTTGAACTTTAATTTCTTCATCCATAAAATAGAGACAATAATAGCTCCTATATCACCTTGTTGTTACAAGGATTAAATAAGTTTACATACACAAAGCACTTAGAACAGCGCCTCACACACAATGATTGCTCAGTAAAGGCTACATATTATTACCATTATTGAACACATCCTATTTCATAGCCACATAACAGTTCATGGGCTGGCTGTATCCTGATTTATTGAATTATTCATCACAGAGGTTGTTTCTCAGATTTTGTCCCTGCTTCCATATATATATATCCATATCCTTGGGTATAAGTGCTTTTAATTTCTGTACTAATGATTCCCCAAAGCTGTTTTATTTAGTCAAAAGGTGGTTTACCTTTGACATTTTAACATTTATTGGTAGAATTACTTTCCAAATAGATTGTGGCAATTATATTTCAACCAGCAATAAGTGAGGGTTTCTCTATATCCAAGGTAACATATTATGGAAGGTTACAAATTATTGTCGTTACTTTGCTATTTAATTACTACTTTTTATTCAGAAAGCAAAGGGAAATATTTTGGACAGCTAAGATTAACTGGCTTATTAATATGCTGAAAACATACGTGTTTACCACAATTATTTTGTTTGTATCTCGTTGTTATTTTATTGCATTAAACATCCCATCTATTTTATGGTGATGAATTAACTCGTATCCATTGTAATGCCCTTTAGCAGATGATTTTCTTTCTTTCTTTCTTTTTTTTTTGAGACAGAGTCTCACTATGTCACCCTCAGTAGAGTGTGTGCCATCACAGCTCACAGCAACCTCAAACTCCTGGGCTTAAGCGATTCTCTTGCCTCAGCCTCCCAAGTAGCTGGGACTACAGGCACCCATCATAACACCCAGTTTTTTTTGTTATTGTTATTGCAGTTGTCATTGTTGTTTAAACCCGCCAGCCTGGGTGTATGTGGCTGGCGCTGTAACCAAAGTGCTACGGGCACTGAGCCAAGCAGAATATTTTCAATCACTATGTGAAGAAATAATAATTAGTATTAAAATATTTGTATTTTCTTTTATGTTACATCTCTCGTATTGTGAACGTCTTCCTTTGTTAAAGGTAGAAATGGCTTAAGAAAACAGAGTGGCCAAGTTAGTTTTTACTTAACATTATAGTTATCGCCATGGCATAATTTATATACCAGATACAAATAGAGCATCTTGGCCTCTGACCCTTGTCTCTGAACCTCCAAAAACAAGTGGTCATTTGTCAAAGCATGAAGATTAATTGCTTAGTTTATTTATAGAGGCCACGAGTGAAAGCTTCAGATCTGAAAGATAAAATAAAGGCAGTTGTCACCCAGGAGTTATTAATCCTCGTTGGTCCTCAGGAGAGCACAAATTACCCCAAAATGTCAAGACCCAACCTTATGTTATTACTTCTACCTTTCAAAACACCCTGGGCATTTTAAACCCTTGGACAGACAAGTCAAGTACTTCAAATAGCTATTTCTATTCATACTAGGATTCTACATTTGAAATGTATAATTCTATATTTTCCTATTGCTGAACAATTTACTATGTAAGCCTATGATTAAATCATACCATATAGGCAGAAAAAGTGGATAAATCACTAATATGCAATTTGAGTGTTTTTTTTTCAAAATGAGAATATTCATGGAACCATCATTCAGATCAAGAAATGGAACATAATCAGAATTTGTAGAGTCTCCCCAGTGCTCCCTCCTAGTCACCAGTCAGGCGTATATACGTGTGTGTGTGTATACACACATATGCACATACCTAGACATGTACATACAAATGCTTATATTTTTTTGTTTTTACTGTATATAAATAGAACCACACCATACGCAATATGAACTCTTTTTTTGTTTGTTTTTGAGACAGAGTCTCAAGCAGTTGCCCTGGGTAGAGTGCTGTGGCGTCACAGCTCACAGCAACCTCAAACTCTTGAGCTTAAGTGATTCTCTTGCCTCAGCCTCCAAACAACCGGGAACACAGGCGCCTGCCACAATGCCCGCCTATTTTTTGGTTGTAGTTGTCATTATTGGTTGGTGGGCCCGGGCTGGATTCGAACCCACCAGCTCCACTGTATGTGGCTGGCGCCCGAGCCACTGAGCGACATGCGCTAAGCCAGTATGAATTCTTTTGTGTCTGGCTTTTTTGCTCAACATTATATTCTTGACATCCATCCATGTCGTTGAATGTAGCAAGGGTTTGTTCATTTCAACGGAGGCACAGCTTTCGTTGTATGGATGTATCACAACTCATTCATTTTTGTAGTTGATAGCCATTTAAGTTACTTCAAAGTTTTGGTATTATGAATAAGCATATTTTTCGTGCACATAGGTACACATTCCTGTTAGGCATAGACATAACAGTGGAATCTGCTGGGCCACTGGGTATGTGTAGATGCATCTTCAAGCTGACTATACCAAACAGTTTTCTACCTTATACCCCGACTAGCAAAGTGTGCGGGCTCCAATTATTCCATATCTTCACAAGCTGACAATTTCAGCTTAAAATTTTGGTCATTCTGATGTTTTTTGCGTGCATGTGTCAACATATCACTTTTTATTTTTAATGTCATTTTCCTGACAAAACTAATAACACTTGGTTGCAGTGCAAGTCTTTAGTCCAATACTGAGTTGTCTTTTTCTCATTGATATATATAAGAATTCTTAATATAGTCTAGAAACCAATCCTTTCTTGGGTTATATATAAACATTTTCTCCCACTCCTTGACTTGTTATTTTAACCACTTAATGGAATCTTAGAGTTCAGCCCAATACATCAACCTTTTTTTTTTTTTTTTTATGACTGACGCTTTCTAAAGAGGATCCTATTTATGATATCTTTGCCACCACCAAGGTCATGAAGATATTCTCTCATGATCTCCTCTAGAAGCTTTATTATTTTACTCTCCACATTTGTTTCAACCATCAATTTGGAATTGATTTTGTATATTCTGTGAGGCAAGGATCGAAGTGCATTATTTTTAGATTTCCAATTGACCCAGCTCACTTACTGCAAAGACTATTCCTTCCTCACTGTGCTGAATAGTCACTTTTGTCATAAATCATGGGAATGCAGATATATGGATCTTTTTCTGGACTCTATTTATATATTTATACAATAGAGTCTCTCTTTCTTCTCCACCTCCATTTATCTGTATACTTACTTCCATCTCACGTTGTGTACCTGTAGCTCTTTAATAAGAGTTGATAGCTAGAAGTTTAAATCCATCAGCGTTTCCTTTCTCTAGATGGTCTTAGCTATCCTAAGTCCTTTGTACATCAATGTACATTTTCTGATACTTGCAAATGATAACTTTTAAAACATTTTTATTTCAAATTGTTGCTTCTACTATAAAGAGATAAAATTTAATTTGCATGGACAGTATACATAGCAACTACCAAATTCTAGTTCAATTCATTCTAGTTCTGAAGACTATTTTGAATTTTCCATGACTATAAATAATGAGAGTTTTATTTTTTCCTTTTACAGATTTATGCCCTTTGGGGGGGATTCTTCATTTATTTCACTGGATAAGAACTCCCATAGGGTAGCACTCACATGTGATTAATTGGCCTTTCAATTCATCACATTCAATTCAGGGCAAAGGGGAAAGTTTAATTAACGAATGGTGGTGTAAAATTGTCTGCTACCAAAATTGCATCCCTGTTTTTACTTATATTCTTTGCTATTTTTATTAAATTTATTTCTAGACATTTTAGAATTCTGCCACTATGGTAAGTGGAGTTTTAAAAATTTCCACTTTAGGGCTGGGTGCAGTGGCTCACACCTAATCCCACAGCTCCTGGAGGCTGAGGCAGGCT